GTGTGTCTTCAATAAAGGTTACTGTGTATCAAATATCTTTCAGAGTTATTGTCTGAATACCGATAAATTTACTAAAAGGTTAAACTTTCTAAAGTTTTGTCCATGAGTGTATATACTCGTATATATAATTTTGTCTTCTTCTTCTTTCTTATCTCCACTCAATCATATTAGGGTATCAAGCTTGTAAAGCTTGAGTTCATGACTGGGTGAAGTAGAATGCGTCTGCCTTTGTCATTAAGACTGGGAGCACTACTCAGTGGCACGCCGATTTAGCTCCAAAAGAAATGGCCGCCTCTTACATGAGGAACAGACGCCAAGTGCAGCCGCTCCTAACATGGAGTACAAACGCTGCTCATCCTGTATCCCTGGATTAGGAGCCCTTACAGGGTACTATCAGCCGGGCCAGCTGAGCCCAGGTTTTTTAGTGAGCTTGTTACTGCTCCCCCTCCTCCTTTTTCATCCGGGCTTGGGACCGGCAAAGGCGGAGTTATAGAATTTTGTGAATTTATTAAGTGTATTTGTACATTTATTAGGTGTCAGAACCCTGTTCGGTTAACTTCACATTCTGACGGTATTGGAGGATGTAGACAAGAGAAAGAAAAATCTACGTTTGACAATTTTAACCGCAAATGTTTCTTTTGAATGATAAAATCGTAATTTATTTTAAGGAGAAATAACGACTATTTCTATCCTTAGGGATGAAGTATGAAAGGATGAATTGTGAAGAGTAATGATGAACGGAAAAATAAAGTGTCCAGGGATGGGAATCGAACCCACAGTGTTCCGCTTACCGGGGAGATGCCATGTCCACTAGGCTACCCTGGACATATGTGTGTATATGAGCTCTATAATTGTATATATTATCTTTATTATTGTAATTATTAAGTTTGTCCAGTGTTTTTTACCTTCTCCTATAACTAACGGGAATCTGTATATAAAAAAGGAACGCAGGATAATAACCAAAAACCTACGTATATAATATATATATAAAAAAATGCACTAGCTCTCTATATGTACATATTTCCCATGTAACTTTATTTCAATTTGAAGCGCTATGTCCCCCAAGGGACACCTGCGCTGTCATACATGTATGCCTTTACATTTGTCTATACATATATACAATAGTTTTAGACCGTGAATAGAATAGTCATATTAACAATGAGAAAGAGAGAAAAAAAAAAAACGAGAAAAAATAACTGTGTACAAAAGAAAGAAGTGTCTGGCAATATGTACAATCCGCAAAATAGAAATTATCAGTTTCTTAAAAGATATTTGTTGCTATATAGTTTAAAATATATCTACCAAAGGTATTGAATTTAATATACATTTCTTTACTGGAAATGAAAATACTTGGATCTGTTACTATTAAATTATTGTCGATTCTATAGTCTTGAAAAACAGGACAATCTAGTAAAAGAATGTAACTTTGTCAATTTTAATTTATTCCTTCCTCTTTTTTCCACTCCTGTATCACTCAGGAGAATCTGTATATAAGACTAAAGGTCTTAATAAAGGAATTGATTGAGTGATTGATTTAAAATATACAAATTTTATTTTATTTTTCTTATTTTTACATGTTCAGCGTAATTACGCAAATTTGACTAAAAATACCCATTTCTTGATTTCTCAGGAAGCCTCAAGGATCAGCTTTTTGGTCATTGAGATACAGACTGCACCACGCTTGACGAAAGCCAACAGCCCTAAAGGCGTACGTGGTTGTCTTTTCTTGATTTAACAAGAAAATGGGTTAGCCAAATATCACGAAACAAACCTAAATAAATGTTTAGTTTATTTTTATTACAATAGATTGTGTATGACATCGTTGAGGTACAGCTTGCAACCACGCTGACGAGGGCCAACAACCCCAAACGCGTACGCGGTTAGCTATTCTTGATCAATCAAGAATGGATATTTGGAAAATTCTGGAATTAAAAAAAAAAAATGAACGGATAGTTGATATTTATTCCGATAGATGGTGAAAGCCCTCAGCAGCTTTCAGTTGCCCGATAAGAAGAAGCCTTTTTCTTATAATATATGTAATATTGTTGCAAATGTCGACGTATGGATAAGCTGGCAGTCGTGTACGTGAGGCGAGTGTTGATGATCTTCCCACACGCGGACAACAAGAAGCAGAGGCAGGGCTAGATGTTAGCACATAGAGGGATCGGGGACAGCCCCCGGGACAGAGGTAGAGGCCATGACACAAACTTGATGCTTATCCCCGAGACATGGAGAGAGAGTGTGTGAGCGAGAGAGAAGCCGTCTCCCGAAGTGCACACTCTAGAACCATCTGCTGCTGACCCCCTGCCAAGATCTCTTGTTTTGCAGGGGTCGTCTATAAAAAGTCCCTGGGGGGAGGGGGGGGGGGCCATCTGGGCTTTGGCATTTTCCTCCTCTCTCTCCCCAGCTGTCCCCAGCTGACCGCTCTTTGGATTTTTATTTTGACGTCACCAATTTTAGTTTAAATACAAATAGGGGTTTACAGGTATTATTAATAAGGATATAGCATATATACAAAATATGGGGGTGGTAGCAAATAGAACCGGTGTACATTTTAATACAGTTTAAAATATACTATATATATATGGTAATTTAAACCAACAACCCTATATTGTATACTACTTATAACAAGATTGTCATGTTGTATATAGATACACATCTATAAATAATTATGCGCATGATTGACATGTTTCATTGTATCACCATATGAAATGTACTTTGTACAAACTGAGGATAAATAAATAAAACTATGTAATAGATTAAGAGCTGAGTTAAAGCAAGATTGAGAAGTTCAAAAACGTCTAAGAAAGAGGTCGAGATAGAAACCCTAAAGAGGAATTTGGCAGCCCGTTGCCATCAAGGTCAAAGGGTGCAGAATGCCGCAGACGTTCAAAGTCCAAAATTCTCCCCCCCCCCCCTCGGCAAAGATATAAAACCTCGGTTTTTTAGCCGAACTTAGAGAGTCCCTTCACCATCGGGTGAGCCCTTGTTGGTTGTAGCCAGGACCACCTCATCGCCATGTAAAACAGTAAGATCTCGTTTAACTCCATCTTGCTCTTAGCTCAACTTTTATCTGTTCATGGAACTTGCCTACTACAACTGTGTCTCTTAGTTTTTTGTGTGTGGACATTCCCAAGCTTTCCACTCTGCTCGACCACGACTGCCTGTACTCTGTGAGAACTGTATACAAGTTATTTGCAAATTGCGTGGCAAATTTGCCCTTTCGCTCGCAAGCAGCGCCTCTAGCGGTGAAGATTGGAGGTAATATCAGCTGACCTAATGGACATGTAAAACGTGTTTTAACAGGACATAGAGAAAATCTTGAAAATATATTTTTCGGATTTTTAGTCAAGAAAAATAAATTGACAGGTTCTGGGAAAAAAGTAGTTGTTTTTTATTCAGAAAATGATGATGACAATATTGCTGTATCATATTTGATTATCATATACAAAATTATATCCGGAAAAATCCAAAAAGCAGAGACCACGGGTGAAGCCAGTTCATTTTTAGTATGCAGGAACAAAATTCTAACAGAAAAACATTCATTCGAGCAGAAGACACAAAGCCAGATCATCTCTTTATAAAAATATCGCTTCTCAGACACAAAGTTTGGAGCGGGACGATTCACAAGAATGACATCCACGGCGCCAATTTTTAATTGTAACGAATAGTATTTGAATAAAAGAATTTAATCGGGTAAAACCCGGGCATTGCCCGGGTCATTCGGCTAGTTTATTTATAAAATAAACAAAAGTCGTGTAATAAAATTTATAATAAAAATAAATTTAGACCATTCACATAACGCACAAAGAATGTTTTAAAAGAACATGGAACGTGCGCACTGGACGTCATAGCTTCTTTTATCTGCGTCAAAACAAGATAATCTGATTGAGGGAGCCACGTCATTGAGGAATTCCTGGCTGATACGTCTCCTCTTTGTGGGTCTACTGTAGATATTGGGTCAAGCCGGGCATCCATCTGAGGGACTTGTATTCTGTAGAGATTTGCAGTCTACTTATCCTTAAAACAAGCCATAGATTGGTGGTGCTGTTCCCGTATTTTATGACTATAACTAGTCTTTTTATTTATTTAACAGTTGCAAAGACACGCCATATCCACAATTAGGATAATTGCGTGTAAAACTGAAATTATATACAAATCAAATCATCGTAAAATTAACATAATTGAACATTGGGAAACACGCAAATTACACATTCGATGTCAAATTTTACATTACAGTTGTTCAATAAGGATAGATGGATTTTTTGCCCGATAATAGGAGTTACGGAGGTATTTACAATAGCTCTCATGACGTGTCAAGTCCGCGTTCCACCATCTGTTTATGTTGTTTTTTATTGGTTTGTTTTTTCTTAGTTTAAGAGTATTATATGCTGCTTCAATGTGCGTGTTCGAAAGTTCTTTTACCGTGCTATCGACGTCTTTCCTTGTATTTGCTGTATCTAAAAAGTTTTCAATATTATCTTGATCTATTTTATTGAAATTCTGACCAAAATTTGACCAGTTCATAACTAGTCTTTTGATGGTTTCATAGATATTGTCCGAAATTGTCCAATTCCAATTTATTGGTAAATGAGACGATTTATAGTTTATCAAAATGTAGGATAAGCTTGAATATAAGAGAGCGTCTTTTGCTAGGTTTGTTGGTTTAGAATTTTACTGGTTCAGGTTCAAAATAGCATTTTTAACTTCCCGTTTATAAAGATATATTCGCCTATTACACCCTGTTTTAGGTCCAAAATGACCATTTTTAACTTCCAGTTTATAACGCTATCTTCGCCTATTGTACCCTGTTTCAGGTCCAAAATGATCATTTTCAACTCCCCATTTACAACACTATATTCGCCTATTGCATCTTGTTTCGGGTCCAAAATGACTCGTTTAACTTCCCGTTTATAACTCTATCTTCGCCTATTGCACCCTGTTTCCTGTTTCAAGTCCAAAATGACCATTTTTAACTACCAGTTTATAACGCTATTTATGGCCCAGTGGCCAATTGGTAAGGCGTTGGTCCTGTAAACCAAAGATCAAGGGTTCATACCCCTGCTGGGCCTATTTTTCTTGGCTCGAAATCATATACTTTGGTTATTAGCCCGAAAAACCTTTTTTTTTTTCTATAACGCTATCTTCGCCTATAGCATCTTGTTTTCAGGTCCAAAATAATAATTTTTAACTTCCCGTTTATAACGCTATCTTCGCCCATTGCATCTTGTTTCAGGTCCAAAATGATCATTTTTAACTTCCCGTTTATAACGCTATCTTCTCCCATTGCATCTTGTTTCAGGTCCAAAATGATCATTTTTAACTTCCAGTTTATAACGCTATCTTCGCCCATTGCATCTTGTTTCAGGTCCAAAATGATCATTTTTAACTTCCAGTTTATAACGACATATTCGCCCATTGCATCTTGTTTCAGGTCCAAAATGATCATTTTTAACTTCCAGTTTATAACGACATCTTCGCCAATTGCATCTTGTTTCGGGTCCAAAATGATCATTTTTAACTTCCAGTTTATAACGCTATCTTCGCCCATTGCATCCTGTTTCAGGTCCAAAATGATCATTTTTAACTTCCAGTTTATAACGCTATATTCGCCCATTGCATCTTGTTTCAGGTCCAAAATGATCATTTTTAACTTCCAGTTTATAACGACATCTTCGCCCATTGCATCCTGTTTCCAACATGACTTGGCATTAATAATAATAATAACAATGCTTCTTACTGGTATTTTTACCATACATGTACCATACATTTATACTCGGAGAATCTGTATAAGACTGAAAGGTCTTAATAAAGCTTTTTGTTGTTAAAAAAAAAAGACCTTGGCAAAGATTCCAGAACATCATGGCTATAGCGAAGTTCGACCATATTGCAGAGTTGCCTGTAAGTACGTAGTGACTTGGCCCTATTGGCCAACATCGAGTCAGTGCACTAAGAGAAACCATCTGCTACATACATTGTTGATATATATATGAATCATATTTCTAAAAAGTATTGCAAATCACCATTTATTTTATAAAGATTGTATTTCTTTTTGATGTATAGAGTAAAACTTCGCTATAACGAACCCCAAGTGAACAGAAAACTCTATATCCAGATTAATTAGAAATTATCATTTTAAGACTTGTTATTAGATTATAAAAATAGGGATAGTTTGCTAAAACCCTAGTATTTTCCATTTGAATGGAAATTATTTTAGGTTTGTAATACGGGCGTTATATATCCGTGGTTCGTTTTAACAATGTTTTAATATGTGAGCAATAGTTACCCAGAAATTATTTAAAAGAGGAAAAATAAAAATCAGGTAAAAAGTTTCTTTTAATTTTGAATTTGCAAACTTTGGAGCAAAATATACTGCTCTTCAAACCATCTTTCTTAATAGCTGCACCTATTTATCCTTTATGGACAAGAATTCAATCTTTTCAATAGTATGGCTAGGCCTACCTTTTCATGATTTAGTATTTAATATGATCTCTCCAACATTTTGCTATCCCATATACACTGCGGTTCATCTTCCCTTTAAACATGCATTAGATTAATGCATTTGTTTCAAACAAAAAGGTGGTGATAAATAATGAGCCACAACACCAGTTTTTGAGCAAATTCAGCCAAAAGCTAACCTGGATACCATGGTTTCGGCCTATGGCCCTCATTAGTATCGGGGCGGCATCGATTTCATAACATCCTACGAGAGTAGTTATAACACACACACACACCGAGCTTTATTAAAACCACCGGTCTTATACAGATTCACCACAGGAAGAAAGGAAGCATAGATGGAGCTCCTATACTCCAGACAGCACAGAACCCAACAACAGCCTCCAGGTCCGACACATGTCCAGTGGCCACACGTTCCTTCGTGCATACGTCAAGGTTAGAGTATCAGAGAGGTGTTATCAAATCGATCGAATTTGCCTAAAAGGTTTAAACACCTTCGATTGATGGTGAAGTGGGAGGGCAGATTGCCATGCTATAATGAAGTATAAGTTGAGGCAGAATGGTATTCATGTATTAGAAGGTACTTAGAAACGCTCAAATGGGAAGTCCTACCCCACCCATCGTATAGCCCAGACATTGATCTTTCCGATTATTATTTCTTCCGAACATGGCCTGGTTGACCAGCACTTCTCCAATTACGATGAAGCCAAAAAATGGATCGATGAATGGATAGCGGCCAAAAAGCCGGCCTTTTCCCGCGATGGGATCCGTCAATTGCCCGAAATATTGGAAAATGTAGAGGCTAGTGACGGATAATACTTTGAACATTGAATGTCTAATATTTTACACAAAAATTGAATGTCTAACCAATTTTTCACAATAAAGCTTCAATTTTCGAGATTAAAAAAAAAAAAAAACGCACGAACTAAAATATACTCCCAATACCAAAAGTGGCGCCTCTTTCTTTTAAAAGTAGAAAACGTAATGACAGTGGAGTAAAGCTACGTGAATATCATCACGTGAATATCATCACTAGAACATGATAAGAATGGATAAGATATCTCTAAGCAGATAAGAAAAAAAAAATTTATACAAAGATAGCAAATTCGACCGGATATGACGTTGTATTTGTTTCTCTCTTCTGTTATTCCACAGATGTAGCACACGAGACCTCGATCTGGTACCTTCAACGTGTTCTTAAATTGATTCTTTTAGCAGGCTATATTTTTTTGTCTTATAGATTATTTAAATAATTACATAAGTTTAAACACATCAATGAGGATAATTGCAATGATCCAGATTGGTATATTGTATCTTGTCTTAGTATATGTCATATCACAAATGTCAGAATCCGATTTCTTTTGTTGAGCAAGAATTTTTGGGGCTTATCGTTGTTGTTTCTGGGCAACCAAATTTCAATGTCTTATATTTGTATCTTATTCTTTCTTATCTCCACTAAATCATATTAGGGTGTCAAGCTCGTAAAGCTTGAGACTTTTGATGGTGTCTGTCGGGGATGAGTAGAGCACATCAATGGATGAGTCAATACAGTCAATAATGTGTTTTGGGGTTGCAGGTTGAGAATTGCACATAGCACATAGTGTGAAAACGATAAGACACAATTTGGATTATAGATTATAAACACAAGGTAATAAGACCAAATCCAAATAAATAAATAGTATGTGACGTTTCGGTAACAGCATTATCATCTTCAGTACCGAAACGTTACAGACTATTTATTTATTTGGTCTTATTACCTTGTGTTTATAATCTGAAGATGGTAACAACGTTGTTACCGAAACGTCACACACTATTTATTTATTTATTTGGATTTGGTCTTATTACTTTGTGTTCATAGTGGGAAAACCTAGCAACCATTTATATTTGTATGCATATACCTAACCACACTTGCGAGTGTGAATAAATAGGGCTCTGGTAGCTTGTAGTGCAAAACTGATCCTCTATATGTAGACATGTGATGTACTTACAGCATAAACTCAATTGATAATCTCTATCCACTAGAATTGTAATATGGCCCTTTACCACATTTAATTTTGATCAATTCTATCACACCCTCAGATGACCTCTATACCATTGAAAAATATATCAGCCGTTTTATAGAATTCTCCATATACAGTTAAACCTGTCTATAGCGCCCCCCTTTCTATAGCGCCCGATTTTAAATACGTAGTACGATGCGATTTACATTAAAAGTGACCCGTCTATAGCACCCCCTCTCTATAGCATCCTATTTTGGCGAGTCCCAAGAGGGGGCGTTATAGACAGGTTTAACTGTAATATGATTTCATAATAAAACAAATATTCAACTTGTAAGAAAAATCAGAAAAACTTGAAAACAGCCTTCAAAGAAGTTTGGAACTACACCTCTTCTTATAAACACTTATGGATAAAACTTAAGGAAGTTTATCTTTTATCATGTATATCGGGATTCAGACTATAACTCTGAAAGATATTTGATACACAGTGATCTTTATTGAAGACAAGACTCTTATCAAGTATGTAAACATTTAAAAGCATGCTGCGATATTTTTTCATTCAGTCTTTTGTCTGATCATGGTAACAACAGTTACTGAAATGTCGCACACTATTTGTATTTTCTTTTATTATAATCTATAATCCAAATTGTGCTTTATCATTGTATTTGGTCTAATTACCTTTTAAATTATCCTCCCGTAAAATTTTCCATCTATATTTTAGCCATAGAATTGGCCCAGCCACTTTGCCAGCTAAACACCTCTTTGGCAGATTGTCAAGATTCCATTAGATCCTGTGTGGATCTCATGGAATAAAGTCCGCCCTAGGCTGACGAGGGCCCGAAAGCATGGTCTCTAGGTGGACGCTTTTCAGTTTGCCAAAGCTGGTGTTGTGGCTTTGTCACCTACCCGAGGCCGCTAGTTTGCAGCGACGGTCAATAGATGGCGTCAGTTTTTGACATCTATTTTGACTGGAGAGGCGACCTTTGTCTCTTTAAAAAAAATTCCATCTATTATTACCTTTTGTTTCTAATCTACAATGCTTTTAAATTGCTACTGTTATCAAGTATGTAAATATTTAAAAGCATGCTGTGATTGTCTGATGATGGTAACAACACTGCTACCAATACTTCACACACTATTTATTTGTATTTGGACTTATCACCTTTTGTTTCTAATCTATAATCCAAATTGTATCTAATCATGGCTTTTCAGTTACCTTGTATATATTTTATCTCAACCTCAAATTGTATCTTATCAGGAATCAATAATGGACAAAAATGGATCAATGATAAGCTACAATTAGGTTATTAGGTAAAATCCATAAGGTAAGAGAAGACCTAACAGCTAGAATTACTTTTCTTTTTTTCTAATCCATCAGTGGATTGCATAAACCAACTCACCCAGACCATACTTTCCTAGTACAGTTAAACCTGTCTATAGCGCCCCCTCTTGGGACTCACCAAAATAGGGTGCTATAGACAGGTCACTTTTAATGTACAGTTAAACCTGTCTATAGCACCCCCTCTTGGGACTCACCAAAATAGGGTGCTATATACAGGTCACTTTTAATGTAAACCGCATCGTACTACGTATTTAAAATCAGGTGCTATAGAGAGGGA